GGAACCACGATTGAAGAACCGTCGCTGAGAAACCCTGACGGAGAAAAATTGGCGAAGGAAGCCTTCGTCAGGAATCGCGTATATAAACCAAACAAAACATGTTGCAACGAATATGTTCCAAGGAATCCTGATTAAAAGAAGGTCCATCGGAGTCCATACCAGAAATCGTTACCAAGGAATCCTTGGTAAGGAATCTGTGTTAAGGAACCCTTCGCCAGGAAGCTTTATGGAGGAACCCTCAAGCAGGAGCCGTGACGAAGGAGTCCTTATATAGTACGGAATGTTTCTTGGGAAATTATTAGTGGGCGTTCATTACTAAGGAATCCCTAGACTGGAATATCTATTACCGTGTCTTCCAAAGTGGATATTTACGAGCGAATCTGTTTAAATGGCCCCTTGATAAGGAATCCGTACTCAGGAATCGTTACGTAGAAATCTTTACTCAGGAGTCATTGCTAAGGAGCCCTTAATACAGGAATTTCCATTAAGGATTATTGATTACATAATCGCTACCAAGGGATCTGGATACAAGAACATAGATGAAGAATAGTTATCCAGGGTTATCAACTAAGAACCTGTATTCCGGAATCTTCACTACGGCATAGCTGCTAAAGAATCCTTAAGAAGGCTTCTTTACGCAGGAAGCCTTACCCAGGAATCTTCAATCAGGAACCCTTAGTGAGGAAACTTTCCCAAGGAATCCGTGCGGTGGGCTCCTTACTGATGGGGGCTTTAGTGAAACGTCGTGGATTATGGAACCGTTGCTCAGGAATCCTCAGTAGTGAATGTGTTTTGCGGAATCCTTACGAAGGAATCCTTACTAAGCAACCCTCACGAAGGAATCCCTATATAAGAGTCCTTAGTACGGAATCTGTACTCTAAGAAAATATACGGATGAATTTCTACTAATGCAGATGTATAAAGGAAGCTTTCTTAAGGGACCCTTATTGGCGAATATGCAGTAAGGAGTTTATATCAAGAAAGCCTTACCAAGGAGTCGCCAGTAAGGAACCGATACGAAGGAATCTGAACTGATGGACCTGGATTATATAATATGCATTACACAATCTTCACGTAAGACATGTTTCTCATGATTCTCCATTGAATATTTACATTTGTTCTGCGTTCCGGAATTATTCATTCTGGAACGATAGATACGGAATTTTTAGTAAGGAACCCCTCCTAAGGAATATGTATTAACGAATATTTGGAGACGGCGGACGCCGCGCGCAGGTCCTGCTGACCTCCGCAGTCCCAACGAAACTGCAACCGCTATCAGGATGCTGCCAAAACATATGTTCGGCGCCGAAGCGAGAACGCGATGTTTGAACAACACGTGCGCGGCGCCGAGGCGAGAGTGCATAATGTTGCCGCGGCGCGGGCCTATAGACCGCCACCACGGAATGCCCCGCCGTCGACAACGGGGGGGGGCAGCGATTTCTGCAGAAAGGAGGCCGCCAGGGCCCCAGAGGGGCCCCTTCAGGGCGCAGCGGAGGGCCTCTAAGGCCCGGGAATGGCACCCCGCTTCGCCCCCCCCTGATTATCTCCCCCCCACAAGCGCTGCCCCCTGCGGGGCTCGCACTCCGCGGGCTGCGCTCGGCCGCCCGCCGCCGCGCTCCACCGCGCCGCAGCGCCGAGGCGAGCGCGCCTCTGAAGGAGAGCGGGGCGGGCGCCGGGCGCCCCGCCCCGCCAGCTGTCGCCCTGCGCTGCGTGCCGCGCGGGCGACGCCGCTCGCGCGGATGCCGCCGAGAAGAAAAAGGGCGCTGCCGTGCTCGTGGATTCTCGGAGGAAGCTTCGGATTATGCTTTGTGTGTGTGCATGTGTTTGTGTGGCTTTGTGTCCTGTGCGTCTTTGTCTATGTGTGCGTGTTTGTGTGTGTGTGTTTGTTTGTTTTCGTGTGCGTACGTGCGTGTGCGCGTGTGTGTGTGTTGTGCGTGTGTATGTGTGTTGTGTGTGTGTTGTGTGTTGTGTGTTGCGTGGGGGGGTGGGGGGGGGTTCTCGCCTCGGGTTGTGTTCCAGCAGCTGCGCCTCATCGGGCGTTTTCTGGGTGTGTCGGGGTAGGTTGTCCCGCAGGGCCGCCGCCGTCCCGATGTGTGACCTGAGGACAAGCATGCGTCGGGAGAGGGGTGCGGGAAGGATCCAGCGCCGAGCCAGCGGCAATCGAGGCCGTGTCCATGCCCTTGCTGCTTCCGGTCTCTGTGGGGTGACGACGACGACGACTATGACGATGACGATGACATTGATGATTGCGATGGCGATGATGATGGCGATGATGGCGATGACGATCGTCATCGCCATCGTCACCGTCATCATCGACATCGTCATCGCATGGGCCGTGAATTTATCCATGCCCTCGCTCTTGCCTTGGGGCTGCGCCTGGGGCACTGCTGGCAGGGGTGCTGAGAAGATGGGTCAGGCTGCCCGGCTCGCGCTGTTTCCTAGGATTGCGCGTCTTTGGCCCCTGGGCTTCCCCTAAAACCTTCAAGACATGATGAGTAGACAGATGATGCATTCGGCAAGGTTTAACGATCAGTTAGCACTTGACGAGTTACTAGGTCAAACGTGGGGAACTTGCGATTTGGTGAAATATCTGATTCGATGAGGTGTTATTTTCATAATGACCAAGCTGGCAAGTGTTCAGGCAATACCGAACTAGTTCGTCAAATGTGTTTAGTTTGTGGTTCACATGTTCGGATGCTCATCACGTCAGGTCGTGATTTGAATCATATTTGAGGGTGGGGTTATGTGCATGCACTTCACAGTGTTGGATTGTGTTATATAGTTATGGTCCGGCGATACTCTTGGTTGTTACCATTGTGTCTGAGTCAGGTTGCTCTTTAGGTTGAGCTTAATGTGCTTAGCTCAGGCTAGTTATCGATGAGGGGAGTTGGAGGAGAGATCATTGACTCGGGGGATGTGCTTACGTGACGCTCGAAGCCCCTCAGTGCCGATTCGCAAGCATTATGTTGCTCCGTGGTGAGTATTTCGACGAGCAGGACGAGCTTGATAGACAGGATCAGGAGGACTAGGGAGGAGTTGGTTGACTGGAGTACTGTTCGACAGTTGAAAACAAGGTGAAGGTGCATGTGGCCCTCCTTTATGGACGTCTTCGTTGGCCGATGGTCCATCAAAGAGTCATCGGCCCCCTCCATGGGCAACTGACGCCGTAATGTGAAGAATTTGGAGGTGGGGGCGCGATCACAGCAGCCAGCATGATGGCAGCTGCCGAGGGGGTGGGGCCTACGATGGTCCCTACCGGAGGGGCCGAGGCCTATGATGGTCCTCGCCGAGGAAAGACGTAGGAGTGTCCACGAACGCGACGTTGTACTCGCACACCGAGGCCTCGAGTCCTGGAACGGGAATCCTGGTCGGAGGAAGCTTGGAAAAGGAACCTGAGAGGGGGGATGGGCCTAGGGGGTGGTGACGAGTCCCCTCCCCTCCGCAAAGCTGACTGTTGGCCCCAGGGGCAATGGAGGCTTCCCAACGGTCCTGGCAGGGAAACAATACATAATCTGCTGGGGGGGAGTGAGGAGGAGAGGGAAAGGGGAGGAGGCGGGGAAGCGCGGAGAGCCGGGAAGGAAAGAGGAGGGGGCGGGGGAGGGGAGGGAGGGAAAGAAAGGGCAGGTGGGGGCTGGGAGCGCTTCCGAAGCGCATCGAGCCTCGGAGCTGCAGACAGTCCTGACACTCACTCACTCACTCACTCATGCCATACGCCGGAGCGCGTGGGCGAAAGAAGACAAGGCCAGCCGATTTTCACCGCTTTGCGGGAGCGGCGGCACTACACGGCGGTCGCATAAAACACAACGTGCGCGGCAGCAGGAGGAGGAGCAGGAGGAAGGAGGGAAGACAACCGGCCGGCGAATGATACGGACTTCGCTTGGAACGTATCCGGCCTGGAGCTGCAGACAGTCCTGACAGGTGTGCCTGAAAGGGGAGCAATGCAGTGAGGCCCATGCCCAGAAACACCCGGCTTGCCTCCAGGGCACCCCCCAGTTTATGGACCGCGCGACGTTCCCACACCAGAACCGAGGGACGTCCTGGGGTCTCAGGACCGGATCTCTTGCGGGGAAGGCTTCTTGTGCATTGGCCTCCGCTGCAGGTGACCTGTGCAGTGCTTCCACGTCCCCCCCGGGCCGCGGGCCCCCCGCCGCGCGTCAAGAGAACCCGCCGACGCAGGCGGCGGCCCACCGCCGCAGACCACCCCCGTCTCTCACCGGATCGGTCGGGGGCGAGTGTGGGCAGCGCGCAGATCGGGGGTGCAGTGGGGGCGCGCATCAAGAAACCGTCGGCTTTTCGTCAGGGTTTCCTGGGCTTCTTCGCTCCTCGCGCTACGCGGTGACTTCCCGCAGCCGTTGAAGGAGCTGCTGCGTCCAGGGTGTTCCGGGTTTCCCCCCAGGTGTACCTCGCGCACGGGTTTTCAGGGTTGGGTTTCTTGCGGCCGCGCCCGAATTGTAGGGGGGGGGGGAAGGCTTCTCTGCAGATGCAGGGCCGGCGACTTCTAAGAAGCAGGGTGCTTCTAAGAATTTGTTCCCCTCCCCTTGCCCCCTTTGTGCGCGCCGCCAAGACTTGTGCAAAAAAGTGGAAAGGCGAAGAGGCTCGGCCACACACCTGCGCCCGAAGTGGCAGATGGAGGGAGAGGGGCAGAAACGAGCGAGGGGGGCAGAAGGGAGGGAGGAGGGAGGAGGCAAGGAGGGAGGGGGAGAAGGAGGCAGGTGGGCGATGTGAGAGGGGGTCGATCGCGAGTCGATGGCCAAGGAAGGCCGCCCCAAAGCCGCACAATACCGAGAGCTATCCGAACCAGAATACCAACACGGCAGGCAGCGCTGCACGCGGAAGACGATCGCCACGACCCAAATAATCATGTCACAGAGGGCAAGCGGAACAAGCAGGAGGTCGATCGAGGAGGAGAGAGAGGAGGACGACTCGCTTCGGCACCGCGCATTCCAGGCTTCTGCACAGCCGCAAGCAGGGCAGCGGGGGGGTGCCCGCTCGCGCCGGGGATGGCCCCGACCTTCGAGGGCGCGGAGGAGGCGGAGGCTCAGGATATCAGCTGGCAGGACAGCGCCCCGCGGGGTGGTGACGGCCACTGCCGCTGGGGAAGAGGTGGTGCCCATGCCGCTGCCCGTCTGGGGGAGGCCTCGTCGCCACAGCCAGATTCTCATCGAAGCTCTGATCAGAGCGCATCCGAGGCATGGCCCAGGGAGTGTTGCTGTATCGTTCTTTTTCTGCTCCCCAAACAGGGGCAGGGTACACCTCGATCCGATCGATCCGATCCGATATCGGTTCTGGCGGGATGGACCCGGTCCGATTCCGAAGCTTGGGGACGATGTTGAGTTGTGGCGTTGTTGTGCGTTCTGACGCGGCCGATCGATTCGAGTTTGGTTTCGTGCCGATTCAGCCCGATCCGACGCACATGCCGACTCGTTCCGCATGGGGCGAGCGAGTCGGAATGGGGCGAGCGAGTGGTATGAGGCGGGCCAGGAGAGGTGCTGTTTTTTGTTGTTTGGCAAGGGCGACCAATGGCCCCAGTCATATGGGGTAGCAACTCGGCACATCGGTTGTGACCTCACATGTCTTGGGATGGAGTCTGTTGCCGAGTTTTCATCTGTTATCGCTACGATGTAGCTCAGCAAGTATATTTATGCCTCATACATGCTCCAACTTAGCTAAATGTGCACCAGAGGTGAAACACCCGCACCGCAAAAGGAGGATGACGAGGAAGATACGTCTGCGGAGTTAGAGGACTGGTCGGCTCGATCATCCAAAGCGTGGTTGGGTGCTGACGAATTCTATTGGATGACGGCATCGCGTCATTGTTTGTCTTGGCTTGGCAACGTATAACCATCAAGTATGTCAAAGTTTAGTGAGTTGGATCGGTATCAACCAGCGTATTTTGCGGAGAGTCCCCGTTGCATACCAATGCCATCATCATTGTTGTTTTTCCTGTTTGGCGTCGACGGCTGGTGTGACATTCTGAATTGATGAGTGGGCGCCTCTCCGTATGCGTCAAGCGTAAAGGAACAACAGTATGTGGAGTTCGGGGGAGGATCAGGACGAGGAATATGTTCCCAGCATGCGTTCCGTTTGCTCGGCTGCAGCCATCGTGGGTTGAATTTCCTTGAGTTTGTTCGCTCACGTGTCCAATTCCATTCGTGTGTTTAGTTCGGTTTGTTCGCTCAACAAATCTTTGATGCATGTGCGTGATCCGAAACAACTCTCTTCAGTTGTGTTGCCTTTCGCTGTCTCAGCACGCCTGGCTACCATAGCTGACCCTGTTACCTCATCGCGTTATGGTATGCAGTGGTCGGCTGGCCAAGCTTACCGTTGATCTGAGCATTGCCTATGTTGGGTGGTCATGTTTGGTACAGGTGTTGAAGCTTCGGATCGTTGAGCTTAGCTTATTACCTCTAAGCCGGTACAGCCGAGGTGCTACTCGCATTTGTTGTCGGTCTCTGACCGAACGAGCCCAGATCACGCAACGCAGCTGCGCTCCTAGCTTGCCGAACCAGTTTGTGGTCAATGCGCGGACCTCAGTTCACCAGTTCTGTCTCTTCAGCTTGGCTTCACTGACCGAAGCCCGCACAACATCAGCCGCGTTGGCTTGTGCTGGCTCGCCTACGCCGTGGACGCTCAGGGGCCCTCCAGCGTTCAAGCGTAGTGTAGCCCCTTTTGCTCGTGCGTCTGGGCAGGTGGCCTGGCCCATCTTTTGCGGCTCGCCCACATCGCCGATGGTTTTTTTCCAGGTTTCTGGAGGTCTCCGTTACAAAGTCCGCCCTGTTAATCAATTGTGCCATCAGGCATCCGCGCAGTTTTTGGAGCGTTTCGCTGATATTGCCAGCCCAGCCAGAAACGGTGACCAGGCGAGCTGCCCTGATCAGGGAAGTCTAGGAGCGCAGCCGTCAAGCCCAAGCTTGGGATCAGCCGGAGCAGACCCAGGAGTGAACCATATTTGCCTTCGCGGCTCGTTCGAAGTAGAATAAAAGGGGGACGGGGAGGAAGAGGAGGAGGAGGGGGAGGTATGAGGAGAAGGCAATTTCACTCCATCCGCCCGAAGGCTCCCCGGCCTGAAACACTTGGTTTTCAGGGGCGTCGAGGATTGCGTGTACCTAGGCAATGCGAGGTCACCAAAATTACCTGGTTAGCCCTGTGTAACCTAGGCTACGTCAAGTCATCAGCATCACCTGGCTTGGCACACACCAGTGTCAGTGGCATGATGCCGTTATCGCAACCAGATGTGTAGCGGAGGTCTCCGGAGTCCCCCAGAAACCGATCGAGGTCCGAGACGGGCCACTGATTTTTCCGATCCTGGATTCCCGGACATCGATGCCATTCGTTTTGACGGTCCCAGGGCCACATAGCGGCTTCCCATGTTGCCAATTTTAGATGCATCGTCCATGTTGCCGAACCTTGCTGCGACCTGCGGGGCCGTCTTCGGTCTCGGGGATCAGCATGATCCATGGCGAACAGGTTGGTGATTGTGAACGGGTTGAGGGTTGCGGCGCCCGCGCCATTACGACATCGGAGAAATTGGGTCCTCCAGGGCAACGTTAGGGGGGAAGGCTCAAGGGGGAACGCATCAACCCCCAATCGCCCATTCATCGACGATACAGCAGGGCCCGATAGCCCCGCCCCCATGGAACGTGCGGATTCGCTGTCTGGGGCCTATCGCCGATCCGTCGGCGATGTATCGCCGATTCCGCGTCAGTGCTGCCCCCCCTGAGCTGCTTCCCTTGGTCGTTGCCCCTCCCCTGCCCCTCCCCCTCCCGCGGGTCCTCGCCTCACTGCGCTGGCCGACGCCTCCATCCCTCCCCCGCCCGTCCCCTATCGACCTGCTTCTTGGGAGCCATCCTCCCCGCTTCCCCTCGGCCCCAGCCCCCCTCGTCCGCGCCGCTCCGCCCACGCGGTGCCAAGCTGCCCACCTGGCGGCCATAGCCCACCCCACGATCCTTCCGCCCCCCCCCCCGCCCCCCTCGTCCCCCCCTCGTCCCTCGCCATTCCTCCTCGCCCTCCCTCCTCTCTCTCCGCCTCCCCCCCCCCCGCCTCCCCTCCCCCCCTTCCCCCCCTCTCCCTCCCCCCCCTTCTCCTCCCTCCCCTGGTGACGTCCTCCGCGTACTGTTTTTTTACACAGGGTTCCCGGGAAACGGTTTTTCGCTTGGGTTGTGTGTTCAAAATGCTCTGCTCTCGCTGAAGCGCTGGCCGCATTTTCGTGCTACTGCTCGTTCCGAATCGTGCTCCCGCTGCATCGTTGGCCTCATTTCCGCCCTTCCGCTCGTTCCGAATCGTGCTCCCGCAGCAGCGATGGCGTCATTCTTTCCAGCGCAATGCCACGACATGGTTTTCGATCCGTCCAAATAGGCCACAAATTCTAAAACATGCCCTCCCGAACAACAAGCATCTGAAGTGATTGCACATTCGGTGTCGATTCGTTGATTTTTTGGGTCGCAGAAGCCCCCCCCCCACTTTGGGGCGTCGCCATGCCATGCTATGTCAGGCTACGCGTCCTCCGAATGGTGCTCCCGCTGCAGCGCTGGCCTCATTTCCGCCCTTCCGCTCGTTCCGAGTCGTGCTCCCGCAGCAGCGATGGCGTCATTCTTTCCAGCGCAATGCCACGACATGGTTTTCGGTCCGTCCAAATAGGCACCAACATGTAGAAAATGGCCCCCCGCAACAACCATCGGAAGTGATCACACATTCAGTGTCGATTTGGGCCACCCCCCTTGGGGCGTCGCCATGTCAGGCTACGTGTAGATCTTCAACACCATGCCATGCCATGAAATGCTGCGCCCTGCTGCGACATCCGAGTGTGCGACCAGAGAGAGGAGATCTGCGCCATGGTCAAGGGATGGGAGGGCGCGGCAGGACGTCAGATATGACGCGCGCGCACCTCGCTTGTCCTCCCCCCTCCGCCCCCCCCCCCGTCTCCTCCTCCTCCTCCTCCTCCTCCTCCTCCGCCTCCTCCTCCTCGACGGCACCCTCCTGCGCGAGGCGGCCCCCCCCCGCCGAGGCCGAGGAGGACCAGGGCGAGGGCCGGGGCTCCGAGGGCTCCGGCCCCCTGGCGCACTGCCGCGGCTCGCTGCTGTCGGCGCCGGGCCTCGGCGGCCGCCCGAAGCCCGAGGGCTCTGGGCCTCCCGGGCGAGGTCCGAGCAGCTGGAGTCGGAGGCTCGCTGGGCATCGCCGATGCATCGGCGATGCTGCTCGATGCGGAGTCCGCGTTTCCCCAGGCCGACGTCGCCGAGCATCCCCGACGTCGCCGACGCATCGCCGATTCATCGGCGAGTCGGCGCGATCCTCCGACCCCAGCTGCTCGGAGCCCATCAGGGAGGCCTCTGGTAGAGGGGGCTCAGCCCGGGGTGGAGTCGGTGAGCGTACCCTGCGGCCGATGCTGCCCTCGTCCCTGGGCCGTCCAGAGCGGGCTTCCTCAAGCCCCACCTGCGGCCCTGCCCCACCTCTGCGTCCCCCCGGGCGGGAGAAGAGCGCGAGGGCAGAGTCTTCGGACGCCCGCGGGCGGTTCCTCCGCGGGCGCCGGGTACACCCCCCTGGAAGATGATCAAGGGCAACGGTGCGGGGTATGGGGGATAGGCTCAGGGAGCCCCGAATCATCAGGGGTAACTCGGGTCAGGGATAACTCGGGTTCGTTTTTCGGGAATCCAAACCCGAGTTACCCCGGACCCGAGTTACCCCGGATAACTCGGGCGTCCAGAGCCCCGAATCATCAGGGGTAACTCGGGTCAGGGATAACTCGGGTTCCTTTTTCGGGAACCCAAACCCGAGTTACCCCGGACCCGAGTTACCCCGGATAACTCGGGCGTCCAAGGGGGGGATGCATCGACCCCCAGTCGCTCATTCATCGCCGATGCGGATGGCCCACCCCGCCCATGAACGTGCGGGTTTGGCATCGGGGGCCTATCGCCGATCCATCGGCGATGCATCGCCGAGTGCAGGTCAATGTCCCCCCACAGAGCAAGTCCCTCCTCCTCTCGTTCCTCTCATCCGTGGAAGATGAGGACAAAGCTCAATCAACCAGTCGATTAACGAATGGCCGACGACGAGGTTTCGGATTAGCACCATCTAGGGCTTGCCACTGGCCGGCGCTTGCTGGGCTGACTGAGTATAGACCCCCCTCGCGGCGTGACTCACATCGTTACGGAACTAATTCACAACTCTTTAAGTGGGGTTCTCCGCGCACCATTTCCTCCTAATCCTCCATTTCTTTTCCTTATAGATGACTCCTCCCTGTTGCACCCCGAGGCCGGTCGAAAGGGCGGGCCGGGCGTTTTGCTTGAGACTTTTTGACGATTTACGACCTTGATGCTTAAATATTGATTACAGCTTCACAGATCTTAGCGCCGCGTATATTTGCTTTCCAAATATGTTAGAGTTTGACGGATTGAGGGCGTGTCGTTTTCAACATGCGTTTTCGCCTTAATCAGCGCCGCGCACATTCGTCTCAACGTTTTGCAAGAATTTCACAGATTGAGGGCGGTTCCTTTTCAACATGTGGTTCTCGCCTCCGCGCCGCGCACATTCGTTTTAAGTGATTTCCAGCGTTTCACGGATTGTTGGCGGTTTGGTTTCAAATTGTGGTTCTCGCTTTAGCGCCGCGTACATTCGTTTCAAACATGTGCAAAGGTTTCACGGGTTGGGGGCGGGCCGTTTTCAAAGTGTGGTTCTCTTTAGTAACGCGCACGTTCGTTATGAACAATGGTGGGAGTTTCCCGGATTGAGGGCGGGTCGTTTTCAAATTGTGGTTCTCGTTTTAGCGCCGCGCACATGCGTTTCAGCAAATTGCAAGAGTTTCACGGATTGAGAGCAGCTCATTTTCAACATGTAGTTTTCGCTTTAGCGCCGTGCACATTTGTCTTAAACGTTTGCAAGGGTTTCTTTTTTTTTTCGTGGTTGACGTCACAGAAATCGTGTTCTGGAACGGTTCAGGATTGTAAGGGCGCAACAGTTACGTTGATTCGCGGTGCTGATATCCCAGGAATGGCGTTCTGGCACGATTCAAGATTGCCAAGGCGTAGCAGTCAGAATAATTCGTGGCGTCGAAGTCCTGCGAATGGTATTTTGGCACGCTTCAAGGTGTTCACACGGTTTTCCACAAAAGGGCAATTCTTTCAGTAGTAGTGACCCCCTGTATGGGCCTATGAAGAGGGATCTTGGAGGGAGGGTGTGTTTCAACATCGTTGATGAGTCTTGGGTTTGCACTGGTCCTCCTGTCCTCCTCCTTCCCCCCCTCCCGCCTCTCCTTTCGCGTGCACACGTCGGTACATCACTCACACGGTTCGTGGCCCCGTAGGGACCCCCACTACGGCTCAAGTGAGGGCGCCCGTGCTCATGGCACCACCGCCCCCATCACACCCCTCATGCGTTTCAGGTTCCATAGTTCGAGCACCCCATATGGCACCACCGCCCCCATTCCGGCACACCCTTCACGCGTTTTTTGACCGCACAGGGAGTTCCATTTGCAGCCCAAGTGAGAGCACCCGTGCTCATGGGACCACCGCCCCATTTCGGCACGCCCATCACGCGTTTCATGGTCCCATCGTGAGGGCGCCCCTGTAATACCACCGCGCCCATTCAGGCACAACCCTCGCGCGTTTCGCGGCCCAACAGGGAGCTCCACCTGATGCCTTGTTGAGGACGCCCGAATAGCACCACCGCTCCCACTTCGGTACACCCATCACTCGTTTCATGGCCCCATTTCGGCGCACCACCCACCATGATCATACCCCTTCAGCAGACCCGCAGAAGTAGTTTTTCAGTCGGGCCGCTGAAGAAGGAAACCTTTTTCGTTTGGGAGGGGCTCAGTGCTCCTTAATTGTTGCACAGTTTGCCGTAGGCTGTCCTCAGGCTTTCTGTGAGAAATCCAAGTTTAACTTATGGAAAAAGGGGCTCCGTTCCTTCAGCAGGGTTCTTTACGACAGCGTTTCGATTGTAGCATCCAAGTTAGCTAGATGAAGTTGATCGAGGTCGGTCGGCTCCGAGATGACAAGCCAGTCCAGACCTCCAGAGGTCCACGTTGTGACAAAACATGTGACGTCGTCGGTCGGGGCTCTCTCCGCACCCCTGTGCGGCGCCTTCGCCGCCGCCACTAGGAGGGGGATATGCACTGGAGAAGGATGCGGAATGTCCCGTTACAGCCGCCAGTGGTTTTTGAAGCCCCATGCCCCAGGTCCTTTTTCGAGGGTCTGAGACATTGTCGCCCCTTATTGGCGGTTTGGAGGGGTGTTTGGTGAGACGGTGTGGTGTGGTTCTGGCTTTCTAAGACGGTAGGGTCCTCTCGGAAGCTTCCTTGCCTTCCCGAGGAAATGTTCCGAGAAAGCTACGACCTTTTCCAAGAACGCACCCCGTCTTGCTGGAAGTCCACCCCCAGTCGCCGAAAGCGAGAGTGAGCAGCTTTCTGTCTTCCTGCGGTGGACCCCTCCTCTCCAGTGCCAGAGTTTGTCGAGGAGAAAAAGCATGAGACCAGATGCCCCAGGATCTCAGAAGGCAGTGGGCACAGATGGCTCCTGTCTTTGGACGCCAGGAACTTGTAGCAATTTGGGCCTCCTCGTCTCCTCGCCTTCCCGCTCTCTTCAACCCCCTCCCCGCCTACCTCGCCCTCATCCTTTTCGTCTTCCCGCCCTCGCACGACTCCTCGCCCTTCATGTAGCATATTGATGGGCATTACTGGGGGCCGTGTTCACACGGCGGCGCCCGAGATTATGAATAGAACAGCCGGCTTTGGGCCGCGAAATTATTCAATCGTTTTGCTCGGGGGCAACGAGAGGGATGAATAGGCATAGGGGAGGATGCATCGACTTCCAATCGCCCATTGATCGCCGATAGGGGCCCGATAGCCCCATTTGCCCAGGAAGGTGCGGATTCACGATCGGAGAGGCCTATCGCCGATCTATCGGCGATGCATCGCTGATTCCAAGTCGATGTTTCCCCCCTATCCCTATCCCCCCCTATCATTGACCCTCATTCGCGCTTGTCGCCGGCCCATGTTGCCTCGCCGCTGTCGTTTGTCGGGGTGTTTGTTGTAAGTGCGGTGCGGTTGGGCGGCCTGCCATTTTTCGGAGGCGGTGGGTGGGTGATCGGAGGCCTGATGGATGTGATGTTGGTTGGGCTCTCGCGGTTGGCCTCTCAGGGGCGTTTGGGAGGCAGGTCTGAGGCCTCTTGGGGGCCGTGCTGGGGCCTCTTTTGGGACCTCTCGGGGGCCTCTTGGGGCTTCTTGGGGTTCCTCTTGGGGGCCTCTTGGGGCCTCCTGGGAGCCTCTTGGGGCTGAAGGCTGGACACTGCGGTTCCTGGTCCCTTTCTTGGGCTCTCTTGGGGCCGTTTTGGGGCTCTCTTGGGCCGTCTTGGGCGCCTCTTTGGCTGTCTTGAGGCCGTGTTGGTTCGTCGTGGGGCCCTCTTGGAGGCTTCGTGGGCCGACTTGGGGCGATCTTGGGAGCCTCTTGGGCGGTCTTGGAGCGCCTGTAAGCCGAAAAAGCGAGAACGCCCAAAACCGTCAGAAACTGAAGGACAAACACTAATTTCTGTTCCTGTGGGCCCTCTTGGGAGGTCTCTTAGAGGCCTCTGGGGGCGTGGGTTGTCTGGAGGCAATCTTTGGCGTCTTGGATCGCTCTTGGACGGTCTCGGACCATGTGGAGCTCTCTTGGAGGCCACTTGAAGCGCTCCTGGAGCGCTCTTGGGACGGAGATCTCAGCACGTCCTTGGCCCGTTGGGCCGGCGAATTTTTCAATCTTTCCCGCCCGCCTTCCTTGGACGCGCGCCTGGACGGTCGACGGGCCAGATGGAGCGGAAGCGAAGCGGAAGCCGAGGATTCAGACATTTTGTTGATCGCTTCCTCACAGTATTCTATGCAACGCCATCCCACACTACCCCTCCTCGCCCTTCCCCTCCTCTCTCCTCCCCCTCCTCCCCCCCCTCCTCCCCCTTACCGCCCCCCTCGCCCCCCCCGCCCCCCTCGCCCCCGCACCCCCGCACCCCCGCCGCCCTCCTTCCCCCCCCCTCGCCGCCGCCGCCGCCGCACTCCCGCCCCCTCCGGCGGCCAGGGCCGAGGGGAGGGGCCCTTGCGCGACGGCCGAGGCGCTCCGCGTCCTGCTGCGCGGGCGGTGCGCGGCGGCTGAGGCGGGGCGCCCCTCGCGCGCGGGCCTCCGCCGGGGGCCGCCGGGCGGCGCCCTTTTGGCGCGGAGGGGGCTGCTCTCTGCAGGCCTCCCGGGTGGCCAGGTCACCCTCCTCCTCCTCCTCCTCCTCCTCCTCCTCCTCCTCCTCCTCCTCCTCCTCCCGCGGGGGCGCGAAGAGATCGAGGCCTCCTTAGATGGGGCCCGAGCAGAGGGGGTCGGAGGATCGCGCCGCATCGCCGGTGCATCGCCGTGGAGCCCGATTTTCTTTGCGCCAGCGTCGCCGATGCATCGCCGACGTCGCCGATGCATCGCCAATGCATCGTCGATGTATCGGCGATGCGCGGCGATCCTCCGACCCCATCCACTCTGACCCCATCCAGGAGGCCTTTAAGATAGAGTCGAGGCTGATCAGTGGGTCGACCCTGCCAAGTCAAGGGCCACCTGCTGTCTTGTGCTTCGCGACCCATGACTCCTGCATTCCTGTGGCATTGTGGCCCTCGGAAGGGTCTTGTGTCCTCTCGCGTGGCCTGTCCATCAACCTCTGGCTGTAGTCGCGCTTCGCGCGTCGCGGCCTGGGCCAGTGCGGTTGCCCTTCTCCAGGTGGGGTGCGGCGATCGCGCGTCGCGCATCGCGGGGCGCGATGCGCGAAGTTACGTGACCCAGGACGGGGTGGGGTGTCGGCGGATCTCGTCGCATCGCCCATGCATCGGCGATGCGGCTCGACGTGGGGCCCAACTTCCTCCACGCCCACGTCGCCCATGCACGGCCGACGTGGCGACGCATCGGCGATGCATCGGCGATGCGGCGCGATCCTCCAACAACATCTACTAGGACCCCATCTAGGAGGCCTCTAAACGGATCCCCATCCCTATCGCATGTCACCTGGGCTCGGTGTCGATCTTGAGGATCCGTTCGGTTTTCTGGAGGGTTAACCCTAAGATCCACCATCGCTTCGGGCTGGCCGATCGTAGGGTCAGGGGTACGATCGAGGCTGGATAGAGACGGCGCGGGTCGGGCGTGCCGTGATGGGTTGGCGGTCAGGCAGGGGGGGGGGCGGTCAGGCAGGGGGGGTGGAGCGGGGGGAAGATCGAGGGTTCAAGGACAGGGTCCTTGAAGGCCCCCTTGGGCTCCTCCATCGCGCCAACCGGCACGCGAACGGGCCCGTCCCGGGCGTCCGAGGGCGTCTTGCTTCTGCTCCTGCCCCTCCCCTCCCTCCAGGCCTCCCAGATGGGGTCCGAGTAGATGGGACCGCCGATGCATCGGTGATGTGGATCGTTGAGGAGTCCGATGTTCTCCAAGCCGACGGCGCCAATGCAGCGCCGACGTCGCGGATGCATTGCCGATGCATCGCCGCTGTGAGGGCAATGCGGCGCGAACCTTTGACTCCATCCTATCCGACCCCACCCAGGAGGCCTCCTCTCCCTCCTCCCTCTCAGGAAGTTTCTCGAAGTTCCCGGCGGTCTCATCAAGAGGTTCCCAGTTCCAAGAGCGCCCTCGAGCCTCGAACCTCCTTGCCGTTATGTTTTTTCTCCTCTCTGCAATTCCGATGTAGTTTGTCTGCGGGGCCCGGGCCCTCCAAACTCTCTCAGCGCCCGCCCCGCCAGCTGCCGCCGAGGCCGCCGACAAGGGGCTGCACGCGGGAGCTCCCCAGGAGCAGCTCTTCAAGCGCGTCAAGATCCAGGACGCGCGGCCGGGGCCCACTGTTCCCTGGCAGCCGGCCTCTTGCGACGTCCTCCTTCCTCCGCGCAGGGCCGGTGGTCTGAGGGGTCGTGGCACGTCGCGCAGCTCGGTGACCCGAATTGCCTGCCCTGCCGCGACGAGCGGCCCCGTCGCGAGAGAGCGCTCCCAGTACCGCTTCCCCGGCCTTTCCGGGGAGCCCCCACAGCGCTCCAGGAGGGCCCAAGACGCTTCCCAGGAGCTTCCAGAATGCCAGAGGATTTCCCAAGACGCTCCCAAGCAGCCCAAGTCAGCCTTCCGACGGCTCTCGAGGCTCCCAGGTGGCCTCCAAGAGACCCCAGAGAGGTCCGAGAGGCGTCCCTGGACGGCCCGAAGATGCCACATTTCATTGGTGTTTGTTTCAATGTGTTTGGCATCTCGCGTTTTCGAGCTTCCAACGGTCCAAGAGCGCCGAGAAGGCAACCAGGACCGCCCCAAGACCACCCAAGATCAGGAGGGGAAAAAACACACAGACACAATTAATCGTCGATCCCCAGGAAAATATGGGAAAATATGGGAAGTGGGGGGGAAGACGAAAACCCAGAAAATATGCAAAAATATGGTGAATCTTTTTATTTGTGTGTATTTATTTGTGTGTCCTGGGGCCCCTTCACAAGAGACCCTCAGGACGGCCGCAAGACGGGCCAAGAGGGCTCCAAGACTGCCGAAGTGGCGCCAGGACAGCCCCAGACCACCCCCGAACAGGCCCAAGGTGGGCCCAAGAGCGGGAGCACCCAGAGGCCCCCAACACACCTCAGGAGAGGAAAAAACACACAGACACAATTAATCGTCGATTCCCAGGAAAATATTGGAAAATATGGGAAGTGGGGGGGAAGACAGAAACCCAGAAAATATGGGAAAATATGGGGCATCTTTTTATTTGTGTGTATTTATTTGTGTGTCCTGGGGCCCCTTCAAACACACCCCCGATCCTTGAGAGGCCCCAAACAGGCCCCAACGAGGCTCCAAGAACAGCCCAAGAGAGTTGCGAGAGCCGTCCCCAGAGAGCCCAGAGAGGGTAAAAGCGTTGATTTCCAATTGTTCTCCAATGTTTTTCGCCTCCTCACGTTTTCCCGCTTCCAACCCTCAAAAATCGGTGATATTGAAAGAAAAAAAGGGAATCCCAAGAGCCCCGTCTTTTTCAAAGTGAAACTCCTACTCGGGGGTCCTACACATCCCCTGACATGTGGCCCGTACCACGCCTCCCGGCTTCTTGGGGAGACCCCCAGACGCCGAAGGACAGCCCATGACGAGCCCAAGAAGCTCCCTGAACGGAAAGAACGGCCCAGCACGCTCCCAAGCAGTCCAAAACACCTTGTGGACGGCTCTCCACGCTCCCAGGAGGTCTCCAAAAGACCCCAAGAGAGGTCCGAGAGGAGTCCCGGGAAAGCCCGACGAGGCCAAAATCGTCGATGTTGATAGTTTTTATATGTTTTTTTGTCTTCTTGCGTTTTCGAGCTTCCAACGGTCCAAGACCGCCCCAAGACCGCCCAATAGAATGTCCCAGGACGGGTCCAAGACGGGCCAAGAAACCATCAAGAGTGCCGAAGAGGCGCTTGGTACCGCGCCCCCCGGCCTCCCGGGGAGCTCCCCAAACGCTCCAGGACGCCCCAAGACAGCCCAAGAACCCATCAGAATGCAAAAGAACAGCCGAAGATGCTCTCAAACAGTCCCGAGAGAGCCCAAAGCCAAAGAGTTTAAAATCGCTGATTTCCAATTATTTTTCAAATGTTTTTCGCCTTCTCACGTTTTCCCCCTTCCAACCTTCGAAGATCGAGGATGTTGAAAGAAAAAGGAATTCCAAGAATTCCCTAATTTTCTTCAAAGTGGACTCCTACTCGGAGGTCCAACACATCCCCTGACATCTGGCCGGTACCGCGCCTCCCGGCTTCCTGGGAGGCCCCCGAGACCCCCAAGGACGGTCCAAGACGACCCCAAGGAGCCCCTCGGAACGTAAGGAGCGGCCCAGCACGCTCCCGCGCAGCCAGAGACACCCTTCCGACGGCTCTCCAGGCCTCCAGGAGGCTTCCAGGATTAAAGCTCTTGCTGGCAGGATTAAAGCTAAAGAAGAGGCAAGGGCCTCTGGGGCGGTTTAACTCGGGTCGATCCCCCCCGCATGCTTTTGGTGCTGTCACCTCTCGACCTTTCAAGGCGCTGTCCATCCATCCAGGAGGCCTCCAGAACCTCCAGGGGCTCTGGAAGGTCCCACGCCCCTGAGGGGCCCGGCTGACAAAACCCGCGGGGCGCAGACAAAAACCAGAGCCGAACGGCGCCGAGGAACTGGAAGAAGATGGGAATCCCACAGTTCCCTGCTTTCCAAGTCAGGCCCCTGGTCTGCTCTTGCACAACAGACCACAACTCAGACCCCCCTCACCTCCCGAAAAAGAACCCATAGGGCCCCAAATCGTTGCCTACCTAAACGAAATGAATTATTTCTGCGTTCCCGCATTTCCCCTTCTATACGATTCCGAGGTTTGCGCAGGGCCTCCAAGGGAGTCCCTGGACGCAAGAAGTGACCAACATTATATTACATGAGTTAGCCTCTCAAGTCTAGCTAGAACTAGAGCGCGTTCGAAGCGCGCGCGATGGTTCTAGTATATTTTTATATATATATATATATATATGTATACATATGGGTGTATATATATATATATAAATGTATATCGAGAGAGAGATAGGAAAAACAAAGGAACAGCAACTAGCGAACTCAATACATAAAGCGTGGTTGGAAAGAGCGAGCGAGAGAGAGAGAGAGAGACAGAGAGAGTACCAAAGAAAACACAGCAAAACAAAACATAGGGCAACAGAGGTTCAGAGAGGGAGAGAGACAGAGAAAGAGAGAGAGAGAGAGAGAGATGGTGGTATCTTGCCACTCGTGCGCGCGCCTACACGCAGACGCGCGCGCACGCATGCACGCAGACACGCGAACGTGCGTGCTCCCGCTCGCACGCGCGCCTGACGCGCGCGCGCACTTTTGTGCTTCGGGCGTGTGCGCGCGTTCGCGCCCACGCACGGGGTGAGTTCTTCCCCCGCTCAGCACGGGGCCTCGCCCCTCCCGGGCCGCCAGGGCTGCCAGGCGCTCCGAGGCGGCAGCTCTCTTTTCCCACCCTCCGTCGCCATCTCCGCCCCCTTCCTTCTCCTCCCGCACTCTTCCTCCCATTCCTCCTCCTCCTCCTCCTCATCCTCCTACTTCTCCTCCTCCTCCTCCTTCCCTCCTCCTCCTCCTCCTCCTCCTCCTCCTCCTCCTCCTCCCTCAGCGTCGTTCGAGGCAGTCCCCGCGAGCTCACCAGGCGTGGGCCCCAAGATGCCTGCAGTTTGCTTCGAGTGCTGCGAGCCCATGGCAACAGCCATGGCTCGCACAACGCCGATGGAGTTTTTCTTTCGTGGACCCCTCCGAGTTCCGAGTTCTTCCTTCGCCATCCTCGGCCTCCGCCCTGCCCCCCCCTCCCCTTCTCCCTCCCTCCTGGTTCCCCCTTCCTCCTCCTCCCCTTCTCCCCCTCCCCACAAAATCGGAACTCCGACCTGTCCTGGGAGGCGTTCTGGTCAGAATCTCGAGGCGGATGCAGCCGCGTCGACGAGAAGCATATCAGAGGCTTGACCAAGCAGGGTCGAAAGACGCCTGCAGACCTTGAACCGTGAACCTCCCCAAAACCCGACGTGGTGATTTCTTCACAATGGACCCCCACAGGTTGCGATCCCTTCCCACGGAGCAATTTCTCGTCCAAGATTAGTTTCTGGTGGTCCTGGACCCGAAAAGCATAGGCCGAAATCGTTGGAAAACGCTTGGATTGAAGAAACATTTCGCTGGATGTCAGGGATCCCCGAACCTCGAACCTCGATCCCTGGAGATGGCCATCTGGAGGTCCCCGGAGACCTTTGGCGGCTTCAGGAGGGCATTCAGGAAGGCAAACATCTTTGATCCTCGAAACTCGATCCGCGGCTTGGGTCGAGGGCGATAGCGTGGGCGGGTTTGTGTAGGTGGGTTTGATGTGGTGCTTTGTGGTGTTGCCTGGGTGGGGTTCTCGTCCTGTGAGTTTGACGGTTGGGTCGGGAGGGATGACGTGGTGGGGTTCGGAGGAGACGACGTGGCAGGGTCTGTGGGTGGATCTGACGCGGTGTGCTAGATGCCTGGGAGGCCCGAGCCTCGATCCGCGAGCATCGCAGCCTCAGCGCGGCCGTGCGAGGGCCACTCGGTGAGCGAGACGCCCCTCGAGGGCACCCTGCCCGCCAAGGCTTGGCGGGCGCGCGCGCCGGGGGGGGAGGGGGGCTCGAGGACAGGAGGAGGAGGAGGAGGAGGAGGAGGAGGAGGAGGAGGAGGAGGAGGAGGAGGAGGAGGGGGGGATGGGGAGGGGGCGGGGGCGGGGCGGGAGGGGGAGGGGGTGCCTCTGGAATCAGGCGATCGCAAACATGGGTTCAGGGGGCGTGGATTGGCGACGGGTATCGTTTCCATGGGAAGTCGCGGATTTCCGCCGCCGAACGGGGCGGCAGCGGCCGCATTTTGGAGAGGGCACCTCCCCCGATCCATGGATTTGGCGACCGCGCGCCAAATCCATGGATCGCCAATCCATGCTTGCACGCCCCCGATGGAAGACGTGTCCATTTGGGGCCTCCGTGAGGCTCCTCGTCGCAGTCGCCACGTTTCGGGGACGCTGCTTACCAGGAGACGCCCCAAGTGTTGATCCCACAGGATGCCGGCCGCAGGAAGGCCGCAATAACGACATTGATAAATTTTGTCGGGATGTACGTGCCACACCGTGGACACGATGTTGGTTTTAATAAACGTGCATTCGCCGTTGCGCGACTTCAGCTTTATCACTCGTAGACTGGAACGTATCCGGCTTGTATGTGTTTTTGCGTATTTCTCGAAGGTGGTTGGAGGCAGTCGTGATAACCCAACCAGGCGTCCACACTTTGCGAACTTCGTCCTCGGACGCATTATCCAATGACCCAAGGAAAACACCTCAAACGCTGCAGTCCCACCGCATCCGGACAAGCATAAACTTTCAGCTCGTTCATGAGAAAGTTGACGCCGCACACGGGCTAAGCATACATTCGTAGACACGAGGGTCAGTGCCATGATGTGGCATTTGTGTTTCAAACGCGTTTATGCATGCGTCGCGGTCTTCCTGCGGAATGCTTGTCCTGTTTTTTGTGCCAACAAACGACGTCGTGGGACATACGGGGGCAACTCGGACTGTAAGCATGTTTATGATGGGAGTGGTGAATGTGGAAAGGACGGTGGTGATGGCCATGGTGATGATGAGGATGACGATGTCAATGAGGATGATGATGATGAGGATGATGATGATGGTAATGCTGTCGCTGGTACGGTTGCGAGCCAGTGTATCGATGACGCATCGATGATGATGATGCCGATGTTGATGATGATCATGATCATGATGAGGACTGTGGTGAAGATGATGACGGTGATAATGATGATGATGATGTTGGTGGTGTTGATGATGGTGATTATTATTATGATGACGTTGGTGTTGGTGATGGTCGTTGTGGTTGTGTTGATGGTGGTGGTGATGCTGATGACGATGATGATGATGGTGGTGATGATGGTGGTGATGATGAGTATGATGGTGTCGATGGTGATGGTGTTGATGATGGCGATGATGTTGATGCTGATGCTGATGATGACAATGATGATTATGTTGATGACGATGATGCTGATGTTGATGATGATGATGCTGATGATGATGATGATGGTGATGATGATGATGGTGATGATGACGATGACGATGGCGGTGATCGGAGGTTGGGGGGTGAGATCGAAGTGGATCGGAGAGCCCCCCCACCAGGAAGTCGATTTCGGTTTCGTGTTCGTGCCGTGCGTGCGGGCGAGGCGAAGCTGCGTGGGCGGGGGAGAGGAAATTCTCCTGTGGCTGGGCCGCGGCTTGACCAAAAGGTTCTCCGCCAGGCAGCCGGTGGCGCGCGGTGTCCCGCCGGTGTCCCGCTGGTGTCCTGCCGGTGCCCCGTCGTGGCTGGGCCGCGGCCGGACCAAAAGGTTCTCCGCCCGGCAACCGGTGACGCGCGGTGTCCAAAATTAGGGTATTCACACGACTAGGAAAATTGAAACACGACAAGACAAAACTGAAGCACGACAAGGTACAGCTTATTCACGACAGGCAACTTTCGCCACCCACTTTCGCCGCCCACTTTCGCCGCCCACTTTCGCCGCCCACTTTCGCCACCCACTTTCACCGCCCACTTTCGCAACCCACTTTCGCCACCCATTTTCGCCACCCACTTGGGGCTATTGGGAGCCTTGGGGGCGTTCTTGGAGCCATCTTGGAGGAGATCGATCAAAAAATGGAACAGCTTCAATTAGCGTTGCCCCTCTAAAGCGCCACAAATCGCCTCTTTGGACCCCTTTTGGAGCGCTCTTGTGCGGCCTGTCTTGGGGCTCTCTTGGGCCTCTCTTTGGGCCCTCTTGGGTCATATTGGGGCCATCTTGAGGCTTCGAATGTCCATCATAAGTGAAAAGGCGCGAAAGCAAAACACACTGATTTTCCATTAGTTTTTGAAAGATGTTGGCCTCTTAGGGGGACCTCCTTGCAAGGCTCCGTGGCCACTTGGAGTCATCTTGGGGCGGTATTGTGCCCTTTTGGAGCATCTTGGGAGCCATCTTGAGCCGTTTTGGGCCATCTTGAGCCATTTTGGAGTTCATATTGGGCTCTCTGAGGCCCCCTGGGAGCCATCTTGGGCAATTTTGGGCTTTCCAATCGGTCGCGAAACGCCCCGTCCAGGTGCGGAAGAGGAAACGCGTTCAACCACCTACGCCGAGCGGGCTGGTGGGATTACCTCGTTGGCCTCCGCATCACTCGATGTTTGGTCTCATGCGCCTGAAGCGCCCGCAGGGCCAGAGGAGCAAAACAGGTCTGCCGAGCGTCGCCGAGGTTTTTTGCGAGTACAGGGCGCTTGGCGCGGCCCGCAGCGAGCGCCGAGCCTGGTTTCGAGCGTGGCAACTGCGCACGCACCCAGGCAAAAACACTGCTGCGGAAGCGGTGCCGCTCTCCAGCTGCCTCCGGCAGGTATCGCCGCCGCGCCACGAGCCCGTGCGATCGGGGCCCAGCGGCCCCCTTTTAGGGCGATGCAACCAACGTCTCGTTTGACACTCCTCAGAATTTGACTTGTGAGCAGAGAAGCCCAAGGAACCAAACAAGCAAACCACATCCCACGATCTGAGCGCGAACGGGCCGTGCAACCATCACTGGCGGCCCCCCGTCGGGGTCTTAAGCCAGCGCTTTTCGAGACATTCTCGTTATCTGCGAGTCGGGGTGCGAGTGAACCTGAATGTATGTGAGTGTGAGCGTGGGTGAGCCTGCGCGCGAGTGAGCCTGTCCACGAATGGTTATGAGTGGGAGCGGGCCTGAGTATGAAGGGGTCGGAGTGTCAGTAAGTCGGTGTATGAGTGGAATGAGTATGAGTGAGTCTGCATGCGAGCGGGCCTGAGTGCGTTTGAGTCGGATGCGAGTGCGTCTGAGGGTGAATCTTCAGGCATAGGGAAATGTGAGGGAAGGGAGGAGTAAGCGAGGCGGGGGCGCCCCAGTAATGACGACACCCCCATATTAAACAGGCAGCCCGCGGGCATTCCAACGCGCCCTTGCTGCGCGGGTGCGGCGGTGGATTCTGCTGGACCCAACTCCGCCGGGGGAATGGGGGGCAAGGGTGATGATGAAGCAGGAGCAGGAGCAGGAATAGGCTTTCGTCGCGAGCTCGGCTCCGAGCGCACGCGCGGGGCGGCGTTCAGGGCGGCGGCGCGCGCCTCGCCCGAGTGGGCTGGAGGACCGGAAGGCCGAGAAGGGTGGGGGGACTTGATTCCTGGGCGCATGAGCTTTTGCTTGCGGCTGGCCTTGGGGTGCGAGAGGCATGCCAGGGACCCAGCTCGTTCTTCCGAAGGGTTTGCATGAGTTTGTGCGATGGGTTGGCTGCGGGCGGCGAGAGGCGCACCATGACCCATCTGTCTGTCTCGGTTATATGTCTGTAGTGGGGGCCCAGGGCCCCCCCCCCAAAAAAAAAAAAGAAACGACGCAGACCATTGCGCGCTGCGAAGCAGCAGTGGCGACGAAAGGAGCAGGGATGACAGCAGGATCAGCGTCCGCGTCGCTGCCGCGCGCGTGCGCGCGGGTGGGCGGCTCTATAGCGCGGGGCCAGGGGGGCCCGCCAACTGGTCGGGGGGGGGGGGGCGGCGAGGAAGCGGAGGACGAGGAGGTGGGCACTGATGCGATGGAGGGGCGCAAAAAAAAACATCCACGCAGTGGGCCCAGGCAAGCATATGCCAGACGTTTCGCGCAAGCCCGCCAACCCATTCAGAAACGATGCCCAAGCTATTGGTCCTGATCGAGGATGCACAGACGCAGTCTACGCAGAGCAATCTCCGAAGTGCGAGCTGTTCGGTGCAAGCTGATTTGTCAGTTTATGTACACCGATCTATGATATGTGATCTGCGCGGCGCCCGGTGGGCGCTGCAATGTTTCAAGCATGCGCAATTCTAGAAGTCGCAATGGCACCATTAGTTGGGGTAGAAGGCGCAGCGTTACTAGAGGTCTTCATCTTGAAATGTGGGCCCGACATTTAGACCGTGAAATCTGTGCATTTCGGTTCTGATGTCGCTGCATTGGCGGTGGCTTTTCGCTATTTGAATACTGGGCAATATCTTGAGTTTGAGGTCTTGGGTCTGATATAAGGGACTTGATACCTTGGTCAAGAGATCTTCATCTTCACATCTTGAAATTGAAATGGGCCTTGGGACCTTGGTCTCGGCATATTGATTTTGATACTTTGTTTTTGAGAGCCTGGGTTTGACGTCTTGGTCATGAGAACCTGACCTTGGGATATTGCAGTGGGAATCGTGGTCTTGGGATCTTGTGCTCGGTGTATCGCTATTGGACAATTTGTCTTGGGGCGCTGATATAGCGTTTTCTGAGTGATCTTCTGACTCAGGAGATGTTCATCAGCGCATTTTGATTTTAAAACTTCGATCGCGCGCCTTCGACCGCCAGATCCGCATCCTTTTCGTGATGACGAGATCGTGCGCGAGAAATCTCCATCAGGTTTTTGATGTCAATACCGCGCAATCAAGATAGTGCCCTTGCGATCTGGAACGCGCCGCCAGCATCGCGCCGCGCAGATCGCGCCATCTGGGTCCTGATGTATTGAACTTGATATTCAGATATGGAGGCCTTCGCGGTGCGAGTGCGGTGCGGCACTTGATGTATGGATC